TATATATATATATATCATATGCATGTATATGTATAGACAGTTGAGCGATGTTGGACTTTGGGGATAGGGTGGGCCTTCAATTCGAGGGGTTCCTCTGTCGTCGCTTGAGGGTCCCCGGGTTTAGGTACGGTTTGGGGTTTCGGATTTTAGGGTTTCGAGTTTTAGGGTTTACGGTTTTAGGGCCTAGGGTTCTATGGTGACTTGAACTCTGGGATACTTTCAGGGTTGCTTCGCGCTGCTGCAGCCTTTCAGCATTTGTGTGGGGTCATGTACATAGACCGGCTGTATTTGTGTTCCCTTCAACCGCATACTCCAGACTCTAAGCCCTGTAAAGTCTCAACAAACCCTAAACCCTGATCCCTCAACCCAAAGCCCTATAAAGCCTCAATTAATCAAGCCCCAAACCACCTAAACTGCATCGGTCGACTGACTTCTGCAGAGGCGCCAGCAACAGACGCTGCACCGGGCCACGTCATACCGGCGACATTGAGCTGATGGAGAGCTGTCGGGCATGCTGGAGTCGAAAAACCGTGAGTTTTCGGGTGCACCCCAAATTGTTCAAGATTCTTGTCTGATCACAAGTCAATCACGCAAACAGAATTGCAACAGGATTGAGTCCCCAAAGCACCTTATCTTCATAGAGCCACAGACCTGCAGCCGCAAGTAACCTTTTAGGACATGATTCAATGATGGGTTCAGGGCTAATTGCTGAGGTTCAGCATGCAAGATACGACTGGCATTCCCAAGAGCTACAGTTGATATTGCTTTTTGTTCACCTCTCTTGCTGGTACCAGCTGCCTGAGACAATCAAAAGCATTGCCATTCACAGCATTGTTCGTGTTGCGTTGTAAAAATAGAGACAGCGTCGGAACCGCGACCTATTATACGATACCCACGCACATGCTGTGTCTGGCAGCTGTAGCCGGCAAAGGAAAGAAACTGGAGGCCAATAACTAAGCCATTAACATGCCACAAGCAGACCATGCACCTACTAAGTATACTTACGCGGCATGCATGTACCACAGGTACAAGCTTTCTTTGCCGCATGTTCTGCCATAAAAAAAAGCAAAAGCAGAACAAAAAAAAAGCAAAACAAAAACTCTGAAGCAGCCCAAACCCTGCAGCCCTTAACCCGAAACCCCAAAGCCTTAATATAGAAGCCTAGGTAATTTAATTTCTCATAGTATTTTGGTGGGCTCCGTATTATAACTATAGAATAATATACCCCAAGCCCTACTCTAATTACAAAGGCCCCTACATTCAACCGCCCACCAAACAGCTAAGCCCCTGTGCCAGGCCGTACCCAGCGACGGCAAGTATGAGGCCCTCCAAACGGCTTATTTTGGAGCATTCCAATGCTTCACGTGGTTTAGGGTTTTAGGATTTAGGGTTCAGGGTTTAGGGTTCAGGGTTTAGGGTTTAGGGTTTAGGATTTAGGGTTCAGGGTTTACTGTTTAGGGTTAAGGGTTTAGGGTGAAGAGGGCTCTTGGGCATATTGAACTATTAGGATTGCACGTCCTGGAAGTCTGGGAAGGGTTGAAAGGCTGTCCAGTTCCAAATTTACAAATTTACTGCAAATCTATGCGCCCCAATCGTGGACCCCAAGCCCCCAAACCTCAAACTGAACACCTTGAAGGGTTGAACGGCTAATTCAAGACCGTGAAGTCTAAACCTTATAAACCCCGTGCGAAATCAACGTCGGCCTCCTTCTGGCATTTGTGCATAGCTTCCATGTTCGTTAGTCCAGCTGCTCGTGACTCAAACCCTAAATTTGCACTCCAACCCTTAAGCCCCAAACCCAGACTTTATGCGCCAAGCCCTAGATTAAAACCCGAACCAAAATCTAGACCCAAACCCCTACACCCTCAACCCTAAACCCAAACCCGAAAAGCCCCAAACTCAAAACCCGAAAAGCCCTAAACCCTAAACCCGAAAGGCCCCAAACTCCAAAGCCTGAGCAGAACCCAGACGCCGAACAAATGTCGATTCATAAATCCCTCCGGCCCGACACCCTGGCGCTAAGATCTAGTTGTTAGGATAACGGTTAGGGGGTTATGTGCTTTAGGGTTTAGGGTTTAGGGTTTAGGCTTTTAGGGCTTTAGGGAAGGAGGGATCGGAATAATTAGGAAGTATATAAAGCGCTTCCGGGTTTTAGAAGGTCTGATGTGTTGTTTTGGAGGGTTTGGGGAACGTTACTCGTAGTATGGCGTTATAGTCTCTTCATAACTATGCTTATAAGACACCGGTAAATTCTTGTTCCAATCATTGGGGTCTGATATTCGACCCTTACCTTAAGTCAAAGATTGGCAACTCCTTCGGAAGTTGTGGCGGATTGAGGTTTCGGATGAGGCCTTTCGTGAAGTGAACTGGATTGCAAACTCCTGTTTCGACCCTTCTCTCACAAAGCACCCTACAGCCTAAACACACGCACACACAAAAGCCTAAAGCCCTCAAGCAGAAAGCTTTCTCTGTCTGGGCCTTTGGCAGATTTTGGTCCCCATCGCCGTGCCGGACGAGGGAACATTCGAATGGCTCGATGAACCTTGGACCAATCATCACAGCTGAGACAAATCAGACGGAAAGGTCCTGAAATAGTCGCAACAGACTACTTGCAGCCATGTTCAGGCTTTGGGGACCGAGGCTTGCCACTGAATAAAGGGTTTAGGGTTTAGGGTTTAGGGTTTAGGGTTTAGGGTTTTAGGGTTTAGGGTAAGATCAAAACCCCCCGGAGCCCAGTACTATGCACTTGGGGAAACTACTTGGAAGCTACCTTGCACTATAAGGGGTTGCCCATTGTCGTCTGCGGAACCCTAAACCCTAAACCCTAAACCCCTGAACCGTCACCCCAACTTAAAAAAAAAAACTAAACCCTGAACCCCTAAACCCCAAACCCTAAACCCTATTCCGTAGTGAAGGGGTGGTTGGGTTTGAGGTCGGGCTGTAGCTGCTCGTCTCAGGTTCCTCACGACCTGTTCAAAAGTCCCTGGAAGGGAGGCGTATCTGAAGGGGGACCGAGAATTTCATGAATGATCTTGAAAGAACTCCATGAATGATCTTGAAAGAACTTCATGAATGATCTTGAAAGAATTTCATGAATGATCTTGAAAGAATTTCATGAATGATCTTGAAAGAATTTCATGAATGATCTTGAAAGAACTTCATGAATGATCTTGAAGGAACTTCATGAATGATCTTGAAGGAACTTCATGAATGATCCTCAAAGACATCCTGCCCGTACTCTGTCGTTTTGCAGTCCAGTGCCTGCTTTTTGTTAGCCAGGACTGTTTATGGTCAGGATCGGCTACTCAGGACACAAGGAAACAAAGAGCAAAGGAGATGCTCTAGAGGCAGAAGACAGGCAATCCTCCCTGAGCCTACAACTTCCTTTGCTGAGGCTACCTTATGGGCTTGCCCGGCAACTCCTTGATCCTCAGGCGTAGCCTGAGATGCAGAGATGGTTGTCGTCTGCAGCCGCAGCTTTCGAGCCTGTCCGATTCCGCTGCCTCAGTACATCTCAACCCTCGAGCCATGTGGCAGCGTGCACTTGGTGGGGCTCTTCTGCTCGCAGTGGCAACTACTCTTTGTGGCTGCGGCGAAGAAGTGGTTGCCCCGGAGTCTTATCTTTATACAAGTCATGAGTGAATGGTCTTTGTTGCACGTATATTTATTCGCTTGCTTTTCAGGATTCAGGTTGTGTTTGTTCTCCGAGCATTATAGCTCTCAAGCGTTTTGGGGTCTCGCCGCTAACACCTCTTCTGAGAGCTGTACTAACCCGTAAACCCTAAACCCCTAAACCATGCTGAAAACCTCAGCCCTCAACCCTTGTTTAGCAGCTCTCTGGTTTCCTGTAAAGGAGTGCTCAACCTTCAATAAGAACGGTGTGGCGCCAGTGACCGACTCGACGACTTGTCGCACCGCCTGCCGCACCGCCGAAGGACTCGGCGAGCTTCCCGGCGGGTTTAGGGGTTGAGGGTTTAGGGTTCAGAGCAGGTTGTTGTTCTAATCACCATTTCAGCATCATGAAATCGCAACTGTCGGAAGAACACTAGCGAAGATATAGTGTACATATATATATATACATACATTTATATATATATATATATGTTTGCGTATGTATATCTATATGTACATATGTGTATATCTTTATACACACATATATATATATATATATATATATTTATATGTTTTTTACCTATCTATATACATATATGTATAAACATTTTAATTTTTATTTGTATACATATGTGTATATATAATGTACATACACACACACACACATGTAGAGGCCCTCCAATGCTCAGCCCAGGATCAACGGTCAGCTCGATGACTGGAAGGGCAGCTCGGGCTCTGGACTCGCAGCGGCGGTTTTGGGAGACCCTTTTGTTTTGCGCGGGGGAAGGGGGGTTTAGGGTTTAGGTATAAAGTGTAGGTATGACGAGGGGTTTCAGGTTTTGTCGGTGAGTTTTGCGGTTTTGGGAGTTTCTGCTGGACGGCTTCGGGGTTTCAGGGTTCTTGCAGAACTTCAGGCTTTCAGGGTTCCTTCAGGGTGACCATGCTGAGTTCTAAGTTCTTAAGAGTGACGACTGGCAGTTCGGGAAGTTTCTGGTTTGTAATTTCGGCTGGGATGCTTCAGTATACTTCAGGGTAAGTAGAGGTTTTTGTTGTTGGAGGGTCTTGAACTGCAACCGAGGAAAGTGTGAGTGCGTCACCAATGCGAATGGTGACTGGGATCGAGATTACTCGACTGCTGTGTTCTGCTGTTTTATGCTTTCTGATTGCTTGTGGATTACACTGTTGCCCCACGTGCAATATGCGAACATGCTGGTTGATTGTTCTGTTGTGATTTGTTGGTCTGGTATGCTTATAGAAGCCCTTACGAAACTTAAATTTGACTTGTTATCCTTGGTCGTTGGACTACCAAGGCGGCAGGAGGACGGCTTGCCAGGACAGCGGTTACTCCGCATGACTGGGTTCATACATCCCCGACATGCTGATGATTTGACTCCCTTCTGAAACCTAGAACTGAAAGACCGGCAGATGTGGTGCCAACGTGCTCCAGAGCGCGCCGGGCAGTGCAGAAAAAAGCCTGCAGAGTCGGCAGAGAGGTGCTGACCCCGAAACCCTGAGGAGGCGACTTGGGAAGGCTGATTTCGGGCTTGTCATGCCGTTGATCGGTGCACAGGTGCTCTACATCCAGCTTTGCTGTGGTTGTGATTGTAGTTTACCACACGCGAAACTTCTTCATCCTTTATGTTCCTACATTCGAGACAACTTGTTTCTGCGCCGTGGCCTTCCGAGCTCGGGAATCAAGAGTTCTACTATGCAAGCTGCTGATTGGTGCAATGCGCTTGCTGCCTGTTGAGGCTGCAAATGTCAGATTGTGTATCTGCTAATCATATGGTGATTACGATACTTGATCCAACTACGCTCTAACCCTACATCCTCGACACTATAAGACCTCAATTTCCGAATCTGCCTTAAAACCCTGAACAACATAGGGCGTGTGAACACGAACTCCACATAGCAACATGACAGTAAGAACTGAATGGCACAACATAGACCCTAAACCCGAGACTCCAGAAGCTCCCCTCGGACCTGAACATCACATCAACTGCCTAACCCCCTGAGAGCACCCAACGAAGGCAACAGATGCCTGAAGAGCATTTAGGGTTTAGGGTTTTATAGTAAGCAAAGAATGAAACGCATTGCCAACATCTCGAACCTCCTCTACTCCCCCTCTTGCATGTCCCCCTCTTCCAAGGACTTCTTGACCAAGAATCCGAGGCTGGTCCGGGTACATAAAGTTTCGGAGCGGAACCCTACAAGAATAGTACCAGTAGTATGTTATGACCCCTTGGTTATGGGGTATATCATCCCTGGAAGATGTAGCTTTTCGGATCCAAAGTCGGGGGCTTCCAGAGATGACAAGGGTCCTGGCTTTCTGGGTTTGGGGCCTAGACCTCTGTGTGTTGAAGAATGGTTTACGTTTCTTCAGGCGGGTAACTTAGCTTATGCATGTCACATCAATTTGCTTACAGGTTATAAACCCTTCCTGGTCCCTAAAACCCCATGCCTTCTTCGCGCAAGTGCTCTGGGTCCCCATCACAAGACTGTTCTGAGTGTTGAGCCCTGGGAATTTTCAAGTTGTCTGTCGTCGTCGATTGGTACGGTCTGGCTATGCCTCCTCCTCCTGCAGGTTCGTGGAGCTGTCCGACAGGGCGATCGGAGAGCCTGCTACCAAGCATGTTAGGGCATGTGCAGATCCGAGTTGAGCTTTCAGGGTTTCGGATCAGTTTTGCGTATTTGTTGGGCTTTGTTCTTGTGGTTTTGGGGCGAATAAGCTCATCTTCAGGCGACTTTCTGTGAGACGCGCTTGGGTTTGGCTACGGTAGGTGAGTAGGTGAAGCAGAAATTCTGGCTGAAAGCACCTGAAGTGCACACTGAGACCGTAATCTCCTAAACCCCAAATCCTCAAGCCGAGACATAAATACACCTAGAACCTTGAGCCCTAAACCATACCTTAACCTACATAAATACACCTAGAACCTTGAGCCCTAAACCCTACCTTAACCTACCAAAACCTACTTTTTTGTAGGGTCCCTATAAATTCCATATTAGGGTTTAGAATAAGAACCTACAGAAAAGTGGGGTTTGGTAGTTTAAGGTAGGAGCATGTTGATCTTGATTCTGTTGCTTCAGGCCCCACTTCGCTGGACCCTTTTCTTTGTCATAGTTGGGTAACATTTTACATGTTTAAGGGTACTTAAACCCAATAAGAAATATATATTTAAATTTTAAATACTACCCCAACCATGAACTAGTTTTCTTGGGAGCCCCGGGTTCCTAAGCCCTTCGAACATCCTGGCACCGCCCCGAACCTTGAAGAATGCGATTAGGGGTTTAGGGTTTAGGGGTTTAGGGTTTAGGGGTTTAGGGTTTAGGGTTTAGGGTTTAGGGTTTAGCGTCACCAGTGCAATTCTGCAACACCCAGAGAAGCAACAGCAATACACGCAACATCCTAAACTTCTAAGTTGGGCGGAACGGTCTGGTGTCTTCCGCAACAAGACCTACAGCTGGAAGCACTGCAACGCCCAGGGCTCAGACGGAATGTCATGCAGTAGCGGGTTTGGGGTTCTATAAGGGTTTCGGTGGATTTCGTCTGTGAGCGACAATTTCCATCATCTTTGCTGCTACCCCAAGGGTCCAAAGAACCCAATAATCAGGTACTTAGGTTTCGGATAGTAGTTATTATGTAGGTTACTATTTGGGAGAGTATATGATTATTAGGTACTTGAAGACTTGGACCCTAAACCCTAAACTCTAAACCCTAAACCCTAAACCCTAAACCCCTTATTAGGTACTTGAACCCTTAGGGTTAAATCCAAAAAGTGCACGAAAGCCCTGCAGTAGCAGCGTCGTGGGGCCTGGCAGCCTTGACTGTGAGTCCCGGGAGGCGATATGTTTAGGGTTTAGGGTTTTTAGGGTTTTAGGGTTTAGGGTTTAGGGTTTAGGGTTTTAGGGTTTTAGGGTTTAGGGTTTGCCAACTGAAGCGCCGCGCCTCGACCCAAGGGGGTCGTCCACGGCGCGTCGCGCGAAAGCTAGAACCCCACCCCAAGGCCACCCTGTTCCTTTCACATCGGGTTTTTGGTTTTTGTTTATGCAAATATCGATGCAACATCATTCAGCAACGCTCGTGGTACACGAAGAAAA